TGTTAGCACAGTCTGGAAGTGCAATTATTTTCGCGCATAAAGCAATTCCAGTACATATCTGTAGATATTATGTCGTCTTAACAAAAAAATTAATGTAACGCACTCAAGCACAGATCCTGTATCTTTAGTGTACGTTACGCTGGGATGATATTACCTATCCATATTGCACGCGTTATCCGAGAACTGAAAGTCAAATTCTTTGGGATGCACCAAGTTGATGACTTACCGAATAGGTGTAGCATTCTTGCTTCAATAACAGCGTTGCAGACATAGAAGATGCACGGCATCCAAATTTGTACGAAGGAAATTGAAATTTGTTAGCATTACTTTTCATTACCTTTGTAGACACTTAATGAACAGTAATAAAATCAACCCTTTCAACACAATTTGCGGCCGTGTGGTGAACAATTTCATTTGTTAACAACTCGTGGTGCCAGTGTCATAGCCGGATTTGAGAGGGGGGCAATTGCAGTAATCGTAGTTACTAGTTACTAGTAATAAAAAAATAGGAAAACTGATATTGCTTAATTTTTATTAAAGACAAAATTATACTTTTAACCTTTTCTTTCCATAGTTGACGAAATAAATAAATAGATAAATTTAAGAAAACAAAACTGTATTCGATTATGTACTAGTATACGTTGGTTGCCGAAATAAAATAAAATAAATAAATCATTTAAAGTTACGTGTTGCTGTCAGCGGCATCGATTAAATTGAGGAAGTCTTGTGCCCGGCAGTCCTCCAAAAATATCTACATTTAGAAAGTATTTTATCCTGATGCTTTGAGGCAGACTTTTCTGTATTCGGACATCCGAGATTAGGTAGACAGGCTCGTGGTCCGTGACGCCCGTGATAGTTTCTTCTGTGAAAATCGATTGAAGGCAGTTCGTGGTTAGTAGGTCTACAGTTTTTGAACTTCTGTCAGCTTTTCTTCTTGGAGGAATTGGCGGAATAGATAGTTGAATGCATCCTGCAATCGTATCAAAGCGTCACGTCGAGACCAATTTATCAACACGAATTGTTGTCAGGGCTGTTCCCTGCCATATACTTTATGCTTTATGAAATTATACTCGGGAATACGAATTGGTACAACTGGAGCAGATAACTTTAGTTTTGTTTTAGTAATAATAAAGAAGTAGTATATCGTGATTGTTTGTCATAGTTTTGGTTTATTAACTTTAGACGTCAACGTGCGTGTTCGGTGATGCTAACAATGGGAAGAAATTTCTACAGCAACTACACAGATAAACAAGGAAGGCTCGCCTTGGGGTGTATAAGCATAACCATGAATAAGTCGCATCAGAGCGCCAGGATCTCCAACTGGAACATAATATTTATTCTAACAGGTAGGGTTAACTACCCCATTTCCGGCCTATCAAGCACAGCTCGCATTTAGTCTTTCTTAATCTAGCGCAGTTTAGCACCAAACGGAATGTTATTATTACTGATGGCTTCCAAATGTATTTACCTTTCCGTATGTACCGTAAGATTTGATAAAGAGATACCAATAGTTGAGATATTGTCAAAAGTCTAACACTGCTTCTTGACGCCAAACTCGGCCTACGGATTCTAAACTCGGCCTAACGCATTGAAACGCAATTGAAACGTCAATGAATTCACTTCGGCCTATCAGATGAAGATAAAAATTGATTCGGTCGGAGCGCTTCTTTTGTTTTTGGGAATAATGGGTGCAAACCTTCATATCACGCGTTCTCATTGACTTCGTTCGGTAGCTTATTAACTAAAGTATCGTACCAAACGCATAATTGACTTGTTAACTCTGAAATCATGGATTTATTTGAAGTTGTCTGCTCGATAGGCCCAAAATGGGCGATTAGGCCGAAGTAGTTCTCTACCATATGGGTAACGGCAATTTGTCATTATGTACAAATACCTAGGTTTAAATAAGATAAAAGGGCAATTCTTTTTTTCCGATCGCTGACTAAGAATGATCCGGGACGGTCATCTTACTATTTCGGAAGGTGGATTAAAGATGATCCAGGACAGGCATCTTATTTTACTTAGAAGCGAGAAATAAAGATGATCCTGGGGGATCTCCTACCTTAATTTGAAGTTACAGTATAGATGTTTCTGGCAAAACGTTTTACATTGCCGGAGCGTGGGAAAAGGATGATTGGAAGGAATATCTTTTAGGGATCCCAGGGAAATGATGATCCGGGACGTACATCTTAACGTTTCGCTAAGTGGATCCGGTATGGACATCTTACTTTTTCGGATTTACTCAGAAGCAAGAGTAGATTGCGTGTATTAAAGACGGTCTTTGGATCGCGGAATGATGATCCGGGACGGACATCTTACAATCTGTTTTATAATTCAAATATGATGTGGTATCGGTCGAGGAATTGGTATCTGGTTTTGGTAAAGTAAAGTAAAGATGGCTGATACGAAAAATTATTTCTGTGCAATTCAAGACAATCATTAAAATACGCAATCTTTAAGACAGAAGGAAAGCAAGCTGCTGTTTAGAGCGTAGTATGCAGTAATACGAGGGGCACGCACTCATCGATTTGACTGCGTGTTAATGAAAATACCGTTCAAATATTTATGAATAATCAAAATGTTTCCAGCGGTATTGAAATAATAAACAAAATATTTTAAGAACAATTGAAAATAATTAACAAATATTTTGCGATAATTAATGTAAATAATAATATGTTGTGTGGTATTGAATGTATTTTACACACTATTTTTTTTAATTATTCATAGAATTGTTTTGTTTTTACATTCATGAGTTCTCCTAGATATTTATTTATTATTATTATAGTCCATCTGACTTGATATTGAAACTAAGAAATAATATACATCCTATCCATCCAAATTTTAAAATAAAAAGCGCAGTACGTTCATGAAGGTGTTACGTTACTTATCTATGAAACAGAGAAGGAAAGTTAATAGTGCTCATATTTACATGCATTTGTACACAATGGTCATTACGGAGTTGTGGTCTTTTTTTTTGTTATTTTTTGTTTGGAGAAGGAGTGGAATGTGAGGTGAATAAATGACTGAATGGATTACTATTCGTCATTGTATAACATCTATGGTTGAACCCCTCGGTAAACTGTCAGGTGGATGAACACGTTCATTCTCTCGCGGCTGCGCATCACCTCAACATGCGAGTACTGCATTCGTCCTCTTTCCGTGGAAAGCCATCGGGCAGGCGAAACGTGTGACTACCGTTGCGTGCTGGGTGATTCTCACCCAGAGTAAATATCCAGTTCCCACAGGTTCCAACCTCGGTTCCAACAGGATATTCTGCATGAGCGATTTCCGGGCATGGTCGCGCGGAGGCGATGTCTACCGGCTACCGAAGATCGTGTGATTTAACCCCGCCAGACTTTTGCTTGTGGGGTTATGTTAAGTCGCAGGTCTATGCCAATAAGCCGCAAACCACCGATGCCCTCAAACCCTAATCAAATTTGTATGGTTATTTTGCTTAACGACGTGTTCAGAGTATCATCCAAACCATTTGTGGAATAGTTCAATCATTTGTATTATCGTTCGGGTATGGTATTTTTTGATTAAGGAAGCCCAATGACGTTTAAATAAGGTCTGGGCCAAAGGACTTATTGGTGTTAGTTAAATGAGCAAATGTTTAGTGGTATTCGTATTTCATTGCAATGTTTATCTTTTTACACGAAACAGCTGTTGGCAGTGACGTATTTCTATCTGATCGCAGTATCTTAAGCAATGTTTACAATATTTTTGCTTCTAACAACAGCATGCTGCCTGTTGGCCCAGATCTTATTTAAATGTCCCTGATCAACGCCATCAACGAGATTCAGCCCGATTTGTCCGCCAGAGTCCCATTTTGGGCTTATCAAGCAGAAAACCACAGACAAACCGACATGACACTTAATTCTGACTTATGCCCGAAAATTGTAAACGGCCGATTTAAATGTTCAGTGATCCGAACTGTCAACACCATAGGATTTTGTGATCTAGATAAAATTAATTTGTCAATAATAGATCAGACACGAACCAATTCATAACTTTTGCATGCAGGTTCATGGCTTAGCTAAATATTTCCCGCGAACACGGAGCCAGATGTCAGTAGTGTGCTTTGGTCGGAAATTTTATTGTTTTTGCTTTGGTCATTCATGTCGGTTTGTCGGTGAGAAAACATAAAAAAAAACCCATGATTTCGGCATTAACAAGTCAATTATGCGGCGTTTGGTACGATACTTCAGTTTAAAAGCTACCGAACGAAGTCAATAAGAACGCGTGATGACCGCATCAATTTGTATCTTCATCCGATAGGCCGAAGTGAATACAATAGCGTTTCAATGCGTTAGGCCTCTTTTAGAATCCGTAGTCTGAGTTTGGGGTTAAGTAGCAGTGTTATATCACAGACAAACAGACGTAACACTGCATTGTGTATCTTCGTTCACGTATTTAACAGTTGATTTGAATATTATTAGTACCGCGAACTACTCGCCGCCGCCGGTGGTGTAGTGGTAAGCGTGATTACCTCTCACCCCAACAGGCCTGAGTTCAATCCCAGTCGGCGCCGCCGGGATGTTCTGAGGCATAACATCTCTAATCACGCCTTCCTTCGGAAGGGAAGTAAAGCCGTTGGTCCGCGGTTCATGAGTTGATGGATCGATAGGTAGGGTCCAGGTGTAGGAGCTGCCTTCCTGGCGTCGGTAGCATTGGTGTTCAGCACGGAAAACAAGATCGACGGAGTTAGCGAGCAAGCTTGTTTTCTGCGAGAAGGTCGAGAGATGTCGTTGCTGAGGTCCCATGTTTTGTGCTTTGGTTCTCGAGGAATTTGCGTTTAAAGCCATTGTTTACGTTTGGTTGTTCCGCCTATTTCAATTGTTGGTCTAGATATGACTCCGTTTTCGGGTCTTTAGTTGATATTGAACTTCAAGAATTTTGTGTAGCATAACTGCTTTTTGTTTCTGTAAGTTGCCAACATTAAGAAGTTCTATACTCTGAAGGTTTCTTCTCGGTTCGAGACACAAATGAGTACGGAAAACGATTTTTTTTCAGAAGTATTTATTCGCACGCTCTTAATCAATCCAGTCTATTAACTTGTAAGAAGCTTCCTCTTGGGTCACATCTAGAACATGTGCCCACCTTTTCCGTCTCCAGTTGGCATACTGAACGAGCTTCTCCGAATTGTTCGTACAAAACAATAATCTTTATAAATTAGTTCCCTACTTGTACAAAAACGAAGAGAATCAAAAAATGCTCACTAGGAAAACTCGAACGAAAAAAAAAACGATAAAACGATCGATGATGATGGTGTTGTTGAATTCAATCTCCTTCGAACCACTCCTTACGCCAGCAACTTGCTGCGGGTGGAGAAAGCAACGTACGCCACGAAAGCGACCACTCCGGTGGCGAGGATTTCGGAATTGATCCATGGTCCCTTGTAGGCACCGGGGAAGCTGACAATCACATTGGTCAGAGCCTTTACAGCCTGGATGTCCTCACCGGCACGCTGAGCCTTGCGTACGGCCGCGAATGATTCTTCGTCGAACAATCGAATCGTGTACTTGCCGCTGCTGGCCTTCTTGATTTCCTCACTCCAGCTGACCTAAATCGAGACACGATTTGAATTTCCTTTCTTTCATAAGTGAAAGTAAAATGAAGGTAACTCACCTGGTACTTGGAATCGCCAACGCGGACAACCGGGGCCAGCTTTCCGCCGACCTCGGCAAACAGTGGCAACTTCTCGGCTCCGGCATTCGAACACTTCAGGGTGAACTCGGTAACGAAGGCAATCTGGCTAACGATGGTGGCATCCGAGGTGGAAAAGAAGCTGGATTTGACCTCTGGATTGCTGCAGGAACTGGCCTGGCAGAGGGAAGCCGACACGGCAACCAGAGCGACGACGAGCAGTGCTTTCGGGTTCATTGTGATTTTCACCTGTTTGGCCACGATTTCGATGGGAACTTAGCGCGTGAGCTACCTTCGGGGATGTTTGTACCGTGCGAAAGAGTTTGTTGAGTTTTACTATGCAGACTGCGAGCCACGTAGCGGTGACAGATCGAGTTGTAATGTTTGACAGAGCCGGGCCACGTTCGGGTGAGCTGTCAGACCCGTTCGGCTTTGTTGTCATCTCGCGAGATTCGAGTTCGAGGCGTTCGAGGTCGAGAGAGACAAGAAAAGCCACAGTTGATTTTGGTGTGTGAGGGGCGAGTGTATGGAAATGTTAAGATTTTATTATGGACAGCCCGAATAAAAATGCACCATATGCAATAGGACAATAGAATTCTATTGTCCTATTGAATATGGTGCATTTTTATTTGGGCTAAGCTATTGTTACAATCCAATAAAATCTTTTGTAGATACCTACAATTCACTTTATTTCCAATAACAATCAAAATATAATAAAACTAATTGTCACAATATCATCTATTGTAAATAATTTGAATAGGATAATTGCAATAATAAAACAAAGGTTTTCACCAATATATTCGATGTGATGTGTTTACCCGTATATATCTTTTTTTAGTTCACTAAACCACATGCTGGTAAAATGTGATGAATTTAACTAAATTGCGTTGTTTAATTTCGAAAAACATACCAGTTTTCTGAAGAGCTTCGTTTTCTGAGCGAATCGATATTTTTAACTATTCCATAGACATTGATTTCGATTTTAAATCAAGATTTAAATTTTTAATTATTGGCACTAATTCAAATCTATTAGTTGACAGCTAGCTCCCATACAAAGTCCCATCGAGGGGCGCTAAGATGGTGATTTTTTGCTAATGTAATCGCACTTATTTTAAATAGTGCACCAAAATTGATGAAATTTTGGATTTTGGCCCCATTTTAAATGCAGATTACGAATATGTATTTACCTCAATACCCCTAAACAACTCAATTTTTGTGCACTGGGACACAAGACTTTACTTAAATCTTTGGTTTTTATTAGGTAGGTTCTGATTCTACACGTTGTAGTTTCATTTGTATACCTGTGATCTTGACATTTTTACCTACAAGATGAGTGCTTAAAGGGGTTAAGTTTTTGATAAGTCTTAAGTGGGAATGACACTGATGAAGACTGCACATTGTAGTCGAAATACGCATCTGTCATATATACCAAAATTAATTAAGTGGAATTAAATGGAAGATAACTTTTTTTTTGCTTTTATATTTAAGCATTCAGTTTCATTTTAGAGCTAGTTTTGAAGAAAAACGAAGACCATTAATCCCCGCGTGCGTTAATGGATGACTCAGGAGTACAAGAGCGACTAAGAAAATAACTCAATCAAATGCCAACGGTTTATCCGAAAGATGAGAGGCTTGAACTTAACCATCATGTAGCAACTAATTCATTTTCGTGGATTAGGAATTCAATTGACATGCACTGGGCTACTATAAAGCAATTATATATGATGAATTTCTGTAACTCATCAACCAAAAAGACAACTTTTAGGAATTTCCTTCAACATCCCAAACCCGTCCTTATGATAGATCAAAGGCTTTATTGGTGAAATGTCAACAAGCTGCTAGACTACTGTTCGAGATGAGAAGGGGGCAACTGCTCGTTAAAATTTGAAATTGTTAACAAAAATCACAACGCTCAGTAGACGTCCATACCGGCGCAGAGACAGGCACAATTCAAGCTCATCGTCTTCTTGTCCCTTGCTCGCAGCTTCAACCATCGCTTCTGGTTCGGAACGAACATCTCCGGTGGCAGTGGCGCCTTGTCGTCTCCTTCCGTTTCTGAAAGTACAGAGATGTTCAACCCGGAAAAATGTCATCGACCAATCAGCCCACCCACCTTCACCCTTCCGTCCCTTCTTCGGGCTGGGAAGAATCGAAATCGTCTCGTCCGGTTTCCTCAGCAATAGCTTGCCGACACCTTCACACATTCGCAGAGCTTCGTGCTTGGACAGGACGTCCTTCAGATTTTTGTCCATCGATCCGCATTCCAGTATCCAGTCGACTACTCCATCAAAGTCCTTCAGCAGGTTCAAGGCCCCACTGCTGCTGAACTTGGTTTTCTTCATGTAGATGTGATCCAGCCAAGCCTCGCAGATGATCTTGAGTGTTAGCTTCAAGATGTCCAGATCTTTGGTGGCTTCAATCACCGGCAGGTATACTTGGTTGAAGAAGTATGCTACGTACTCGTTGGCAGTTTCCTGTAAGACTTCCGATTGCCAGTGTCGATAGTGCGGAAAGCAAAGAGTTAACGAAGCCAGACTGGTCGTACGACAGACAACGGCCAATACGTCGATGCATTCGGCGCAAGACTGTTTCAGCTTCCGTATGTTATCCTTGATTTCTGAAACAAGTTTCTCCCGCAAAGCAACGCAAACCTGTACCTGAACTTCCAGGGCATTCGGAGAGACCAGTTCCGGTACTCGAAGATACTGCAACTGTTCTAGGCAGAGATTAATGTCACTGTGAACAACCTTGAAGAACATGGTCATGTTCCAATCGATGCAGAGAGATCGTGCCTTGTTTGAGGCCCAATTTCTCATCGAATGAATTGAGTGATCCATTCGATGCAGGACGGGGATTTGCTCGACCAGTGGCAGTTCATTGGGAATGGTTCCGATGTCACAGGTGTTCGATATCTGGACTAGCTGATACAGCAGTTCACTCCATACTTTTCCGCAGTTGGTTCCTTCAATCTGTTGAACAAGATTATCTTTTTGATAGCTTGAAACTGATAGCGCTTCGACTTACCATAGCAGCAGGACTATAGAATTCCGATTCCTCAAAGGGGTAATCTACCGGCAGACTGGACGCAACGATCGCCAGCCGAAACTGCCGATCCCAGATAGTGCTGGTCACGTGCACCGTCAGGGTTTCCCCTAATCCTTTCAGCATCGAAAGTATCGGTTCGGGAGCTTCGTCTGGTGTTATCAGCGACAACCAGTCCCGCAGGTATTTGGCACAAGCGGGCGGTCGACAGGCTAGTGGTGAATTACTCCACCACAGAACTACGTGCTCCAGTGTTCCACCGACTTGCGTCCAGAGACCGCGCGTTCCTCGATTGACCCATTTGATTAGTTCGGCTTTGTTAAGTTCCTTGTCGAAAGCGGAAGGGCACAGCTTGATCACCTTCATCAGGATGTTGGCGATGAAGATCTCTTCGTCTGCGATTAGATTCTCCAGTAGGTCGATTCCTTCCGGTTCGTTAACTAGATAGTTGATGGAGTTGTACGCCACCGCTTCTGCGGCCATTTCATCGAAGAAGTTTATGGCAGGATCCTGCAAGCGAAAAATTGACCGTCAGTTCAGAACTTACCTTCTCAAGCCACAGCAGTTAGACGTTGTATTCAGTTTCATCTGGCGCCCTGGACTCCGGCTTCACAATGGGTGTTATCGTAGCGGAGTTTGATGGTGGTGGCGGATGTCCCAGATGCATATCTCCGCTGGCGATCAGATTGAAACTGTTCTTCCGTCGATTGTTCAACTCCTCCTGGAACGGGTCTTGAATCTTATTCCCTTCGTTGAAGTTCGCCGTCAATGTCCGTAAAATTTCCATGCTTGAAGTGTCCGATTCATCGTCATTATCGATGGTAGCCGTAGTGGCTCCCTTGCACGTTACCAGCAGACAGTTGATCAGCGTTGCACAACACTGCTCCGATCGTTGCTTTGTTACAATCTGCAAATTCGCATAAATTACATGAAATATACCCAGCCTGTCCGTTGTTTCAACGATTCAGAACCTGCAAAACTGTCCCAATATCGATCTTCTTCGGCGTCGACATCAGCGCCGGGAACGAATTGCTGCATATCTGCGCTCCGGCTTGCGTCTTCGCTCGCGTCGTCTTAAGCGCCAACGCGACGCTCTCGTTGTGCAGCGTCGATAGCAACATGGCCCCGTCGATGACCACCTCCGAGCTGTACGTCAGTCCGAGCATCAGCTTCAACATCTTGTTGATGATGAAGATCAGCTGAAAGTGCCGTTTGCGAAGGTTCTGCCTAATCAGATGTGCCTTTCGGTTGAGCAAGATTTTGAAGAAACTTCGCTCCACGTTCTTGTCAGCCGACGAAGCGGACATCCGTATCAGCCGCATCTGGATGTGGGCGGATAGCTCGAACCCCTGGCGGCTTTGCTGTAGCAACCGTTCGAATTCCTACAATCAAAACAGATTATTGATGATAGCACGTGCTTTTGTGAATGGAACCGAAGTCATACGCTACACTACGCTACGGATTCGGCGCACTTGAACCCTGTCGTAAACAACGATCATGTTTGGGTAATTATTCGGCAACACGAAAGGGAAATGCGGTGATTGGATATAGGGCCGGATTGCCATTCAATGAACCTTGTCTGATGGGTTTTTTATTTTGACTTCGTGTTAGGTGTTTGAGAGTTGTTGTATGGTGGCACGTACCCAAGGTTCGATACCAAGGACACATCGGAGCGGAGAATTTGTTTGGCAAAAGTTTGTGTGCTTTGGCAGGTACTGTACTGATTGTTGAATGTCTAGGTCATGCTTGCGCTTGAACTTCCATTCTGTGGCCGATGTGGAACCGTGTTCGAATCGAACATGTGATAATTTTGAGGGTTATAAAAACCTGGATAACAAAGAAGAAATTTGTGCGCAAGTTCAGTAATATTCGATGGTACACGTAGGGAGGTTTCAGAATGAGTTCAGGGGACTTTAGGGAGGGGGGGGACAAGCTAGACCGAAGCTTCTGTAGTCCACTCGAAGATTTGCCGCACTCTTCTATCACCCGTAAATTTTGACAGTTTGAGGTAGTATGTTTTGGTTCCCATTCGTTGTCTTCTCTTTTACTCAGTGGCAAAATGATAGGGAGCAAAAAGTGAGGTTATTGCTTCAATTTATGTCCATAATCTTTGAAATTAATTTGAGATATTCTTCTGAAATCTCATGGTTTGCCCTTTTGTATTTAGAAAGTATTATCCCAGAATTTACCCTCCCCTTGGCTAGTTTTTAACCTGGACGTTGGTGGGCGGGCCTAATCTTATGCTTCATAGTAGAGCGTTGGAGACGACTGTTTTAGGTCTGGCATCGTTGGCTCATGCCGTGACAGAATAGCGTCATGAGCATTGCGATGAGGATTACTGAGCTTCCCCTCTCTGATGAACAATTGCATGAGCGAACCAAAGTTCTAGCCTGAAGTGATAGTATCACACTTGTTACTCCTTTGTTTGAAAGCCGCGTTGTAGTACGCTAACGTATAGGCACTGACGTTGGGTGTGATACTGGCGGGTTTTGCCGCAAATCACTCTTATTTTATTAATTTTTACGCAGATAGATTTATTGGGGTTTGCAAGGGAATTATACTGTTGAAATATTTCAGAAAGTGCCCAACAGTGCTCCTTCTACTTGCGTGACAAGCTTTCATTGTTGTTTTCATTGAAGCATTACTCAGGGAACAATGTTAAATAGCATTTTTGTACATGGTATTGTAACTAATCTTATATGTGCTTCATTTTGATTTGGGATAAGTGTTTGAACTATGGCTCGGGATTTCCACTGTGGCGTGCTTCTATTGTGACATATTCATACGTAATTTTGTGGGAGGACATAGTGAAAACGTGTGACTGTAGTTGGAGCATATACCCTGTATAATTTAAAAATCAGCTAGGAAACTAATTTCAAAGTGAAGCATTTTTGCCACTTGAAGGTGTCACCTGGGTCGATCTAAGATATAATAAATATAGATCAAAGTCAAAATTACTTGAAATACGTTAAATTTTAGATTACATAGCAGTTTAGGTACTTAATAAAGCATGAGTTATAATTGATTTGGTAAATTAGAGATTTCAATTATTTATTAAATTAGACTAATGAGATAATCATCATAATCATCAAACGAACTTAAATAAGAAAATTTAGACAGCCTAATAACATTAAGTAGATTAACCTGGGTACTGCGGAGTCGACCCATTTTATTTTGCAAGTCAATGGAAAACTGCTTGAAAATTTTCTCAAGTTTAAAACTGGTTTGCTCTTTCTCAGTTGATTCCCACCAAATGCTCTGAGCCAGGAGTGCTCGAGCCCCCATGACTCTATCAAAGTTTGTATACATAAATTTTTCGCGGTTTTTATACTTTCATCACTGAGCCTTCTGGTTTTTATCTTTGAGCTTAACATTAAGAATGTGTTATGAAAAAGTATAGATCATTTTCATGAGATTACAATACTTGACGGTAGATAAAAACAGTAACTGCATTTGCTGCTTCTGAATGTTTGGCTCTCGCTTGACAGTTCACACTGGCTCCCAAGTGACAAGCACCTTGAGTGAGTCCGCATTACTCAGAGATTAACAAAAGAGTTAGGATGCGGGGGGTCCGCTTAAGGAGGCAACTAGCCTTTAAAGCAACTGGCACCTAGCCTTTTCATATATTGTCTGTTTATTTTGATGGTTGCTTTAAAATATCAATTTGGTATATATGTGAAAGGATGAATCAGTGGGAGATGGATTTTCGGTTTCTTTACATTTTGCATCACAAATCTAGTACTATGTGTCATTTCCTCAAAACCCCCCTATAACCGACCTCTACAATCCCTTCGTTTTCTCATGGCGTTCAAGTGGTCCGCATAGACTATTCAGCCATTACCCTTCCTTTATCCTCGGCTTTGGATTGACTTGTGCTCCCACTGCCCCACCAAACGCTGCAAAATTCAAATGAAAGAAAGTATTATCCCAGAATTTCCTTAGAATTTACTTCAGCATTGCAAGAGAACTTTCCTAAGAATTCTTATGAAATTATTCTCAAAATTCCCTTCAGAGAATCTCTTGGAAATCACTTGAAATTCTCATTTGAATTCTCTAGACAATACTTCAAAGTTTTAAAATCCTAAAATGTTGTCAAAATCCAAGATTAAAGATGTTGATTTTCAATTCACAATTCTTGAAAATTACGGCGTAGGGGAAATGGATGTACTGTCGGCCTTAATGCCCCTAATTTGGGCCCAAACATAAATTCAGCAATCGACTAAATTTTAAATAGCGACCTAAAATATCCATTAGCACCGTTCTAATGACGCGTTCATCTAGATAAAATTGATAAATAGCAGATTTTTGTCGATGGACCCAATCTTAGATCCATGGGCCACAATTTCCCCTATTTAAAATTTTACATTTTTTCAATTTCTAAAATCTTGAAAAGTTCAATAATGTAAAAAACTCTTGAAAATTTTCATATATAGAGCTGGAATAAGGGCGTAACAGCCTTTGTAAACAATGACTTCTCTCGTTGATTTCTCGGAATTCAAGGCACGCCTACACAAACCATCATATCCATCGGGTAGGAGAAGTCTTACTCTACTCGATGGTGATGTCGATTTGCCTGGGAGAGCCATGGATTCCGAGAAATCATCACGAGAAGCCATTGTTTACAAAAGCTATTAGGCCCTAATTCCAGCTCTATGTAGATATAGGAAAGTGTAAGCACACTTTCAACTCACCGCCATTTGTACCCCGATGAAGATTATCAGCTGTTTATCAATGTGTGTTGTTGTTTACTTATTGGTCAACAAGTTTGTGTGCGCAAAGTGCTTTTTTTCAAGGGGGGGGGGGGAGGTGGCTGTCAAATACGAACAATCGTCGCCTACCTCGCATAACTGGTTCCAAACGTTAACAAGCCATAAGAAACCTACACAGCAAAAAAAAATGTAATATCGATCAATGTAATTCAGCTGATGTATGAAATAATGATGTAATAGCTAAAAGCAGATACAATATTACATCAATGGATGTAATTTTGTTCGCAAAATCGATGTACATCGTACAACGTTATATTACACAACCGATGGATTGACCTGGTTGCAGCAGTTTGGATGTAATATTCAACAACTTTTTATCTGTGTACAGGGTTTGTTTACGTTTGGAACCAATTTCATACAAGAATGATCATTCCAAACGTAGGCTGATTTGACAGCACGTCCCACAGAAAATCAGCACAGCACGTCCCACGTCAAAATGAATTATTCTGTTTCGCCGTCTACACGGTAAGAAAAAAGTACCCAACGGCCAGTTCACTTTTACCTACATTTGACTAGTTTGTCTCCTTTTCTCCTTCTAATGTTGTCAAAAACGGAGGAGCAAAACCACCCAACAGGGGTAGTAAAGTGTGGGAACCCAACGTTGAGTATAATCATATTTACCTACTATTGGGTACAACTAACTTACTTTTGGTTAAAAAGCCAGTGGAAAATTCCATACGAACTGCACACAAGTAAATGAAAATTACTTTGACCCGCTTTACCTACTTTTGGGTTCCTGCACTATAGTGCCGAGATGAGTGAAAATAACTTAATTTTGGGTACTTTTTTCTAACCATGTAGACAAAATGTGACAGCAAGGAGCAATGAGCACAGGAGCGAGGTAGCTACACAGAAAAAAGTTCTGAATTTTACTGGTGATGTAAACATCCATACATGGAAACATTCATGCATGTAAATTTCCTTTTCACGTAAACTAGCAGCTTGCGAAAAATGTTGCAAACAAAGGTGGACAGTTACATACAATACTTGATACAATATATAGAATATTGCATGACATGTCTCATAAATTTACACGATCTATAATGTAAACTTGTAGGACATATGACGCTCCATTTAAAGGGTGATACGGTCAAAATTTGGTCAAGGGAAAACGCGTGTAAATCGGTGAAATCGTTTATTTAAAAAATCAAATTAAATTTCTTTTTCAAGTTCAATTAGTATAAAATTCAGGAAAAATATTCAGTTAGGCTTCCACTTTTCCAAATCCGAATTGCCGGGCCTTACGCTTGACCCCTGCCATCAGATTTTGTACAGCCACCTTGTCCACCTTCTTCGCCGCAGAAAGCCAGTTTGCCTTGAACTGCTGCTCGCCCTTAGCAGTTTTTTTGGTCTTCTTTAGGTTCCGCTTGACAATAGCCCAGTATTTCTCAATTGGGTGGAGCTCTGGCGTGTTGGGAGGGTTCTTGTCCTTGGGAACCACCTGCACGTTGTTGGCGGCGTACCACTCCATGGCCTTTTTACCGTAATGGCAAGATGCCAAATCCGGCCAAAACAGTACGGAACAACCGTGTTTCTTCAGGAAAGGCAGCAGACGTTTATTCAAACACTCTTTCACGTAAATTTCTTGGTTGACAGTCCCGGAAGCTATGAAA